TGAACTGATGGGATAAAAAACTGTCATTTTGGTGTCGGACGTACATAAGAAAAGTAAGTGTTATAAAATAAGACATTACATAGAATTTCAAAAGGAAAATGAAAATTCATTTCTGTCATTGTTTACTTATTGGGGCACTCTTCAAACTGTAACAAAACTGGAACAAAAAAAATATTATCAGGCTAAAAAACGGAAAATCTTTCAGAGGGGAAATATTTTCCCCAATTTCTCGGTATTTAAAACCAATTTTTCAGTATCATATAAGAGCCAAATTCTTGAATGTTGTTAGAAATGAAGTACATGTATGTTTCATGAAAGTATACACCATAAGCTTCAAAATGATATAGGATTTGTCACATTTGGACCAGTTTGAAATTTTGGCCCAGAGGTTGATGTTTCTGTGAAACTGCCCATCTAGGAACAGCTATTGGCCTTCAACTGGATATGATTTCACCAATGACTGAACGCATCAACAACCTTCTGGATCTTTTCTACCAAGTAGTCTGCTCCTGCCCGCACCTGGCTGCTCCTCGAATTGATGGCCAACATGGTGGACCTCATTTCCCTTTGCAGGCTGTACATGCAACCGCTACAACTTCACCTCCTATTTTTCTACAGACCAAAATGGGACTCATTCAACCTTCATGTCCCTATAATGGTCTTCTCCAGTGGTGGCTAGTAAAGGGACACCTGTCCTCCGGAATCCCCTTCCCCAGAGGGTGCACTACAGTTGATCAGAATTTTAGTGAATTGAATCAGACACTAAGGAATTTGCATATTTAGCGACTGTTTGGGGTAGGTATTCAATAGCACACCTCACCCACATTCCTGTGGGGGAGGAATTTCCCATAATACAGCAGTCTTCCTTGTATCTATTTCTCCTAGAGTCCAGCTCGAAGAAATGTTGTCCGACCACAAACCCTCGTCCAGTCACCAAGTGGGACATTTCCCACCAAGTTGAGCCGTGAGCGGCCTTTATCAGAAAAAGCAGATGGCAGAAGGATGAGGTCGTCCACGGACAGCATTGTGATGGATAGACCAGTTCTAGAACGACCGTCTATGCCTCCACCACCAGTACCACCTAGGAAAGGTGAGCCATTCCTAAGATATGCAGTCAAGCACAGGTACTAAACTTACATAGAAAAAAATACATTGGTTTTGTGTACACTTTGGCTTTCGTTACAGCTTTAACTCATATCCTCTTTAATATAAAGTCTCAAGTTCAATCTAGTCAGATCTTAGTTTCGGTATCTCATTCAAATAAATGTTTCTAAGAATAACCAGAATGTTGTCATTCTTAATACCGGTACATGTGTGGCTGAAGCCATTCAACTGGCGCATTAAAGCAAAAACCATCTTAACAATCTAATTCAAACCATGTAAGAGAGTGCACTTATATATGTATGTTCCCAAAATGGATTCTTACTAATGAGCTTTCTTTCTTGGTTTGTTTTGAAGAATCCCTACTTACCTGATATTATTTGTACATTCCAATCAGACCTCTTGGCCACAGTTACCTTTGCATGTTAATGAACTATGAATGAAGAAAGCCGTGCGCCAACCATAGTCAGCTGCAACTTGCTGAACAGTTTGATGATTTTACCTGGACTAGCATCTAAGTGTAATTAATTCAAAATAATTACTGCTCAACGGACTGACAACATATCTTCCACTAATTTTGTGCTCTTCATTTGTTGTGATCTTAATGTGTCATTTTCAAAGTGATAATCAATTTTGGCCCTTTTGAGCCAAACCAAACATGCTCATTTCTGTCATTTTTGAATTTTTGTTTGTTTCTTCTCTTGCATGTACTCCATTGGCCATTTAACATTGCGGCTACTGATGTTCAACAACCACCATGTACCCAATATTTCATTCATTGAATCATTCGTCCACTGTGCTACCCTCCATGGGATTTGGGTTTCCAATCGTCCTTGTCAAAAATTCAATCCCACTTTCCATCAAATTGAAAACCAAATTCGAACTGATGCCAAACTTGTCTGCATTATCTTTTACCTTGTGACCAAAAACTCATGCCTCCTACTCCCTTCCGGACCTCAATTTCTTTGTTACATGGGAACACTTCTCTCCCCCGTGGTACTCCTGTCTCTGATGAAACCAACCCCTTACACCTTCCACTGCTTAACCTCACCTCTTCTGACCACACCCAACCTTTTCCATGACCCCTTTCTTTTGATCACCCATTTTTTTCCGATCACCCTCTCCTACATTCCCTTCCCACTGGTTCCCCACTCTTTCTCCCTGTACACTGACCCCTTCCCCTCCATTCTTCAAAACCATACCCGTGAAAACCACACCTCCTAAAAAATCCCCAGTAGGGAGCGTTTCGATGAAGAAAAAAGCCCCCAATCCACCTCACATGACCCACAAGAGGAATTCCTCTGATCCCGCATTCATCAATTCCCCACCCCCAACCCCTCCAGCCAGGATTACTTCTATTAGAGAGAGTCCCAAAGGAATCCCAGGTAATTCCAATTTCTTTCTTTTCCCAATGTCTTTGAAGTTTGTCAGTGGATCACGTTCCTCTGCAATGGCTTTCTTTGGATAGCATGATGCAGCTGACTGAAAGTCAAACATAATTAACCTTAAATACATCTTATCAGGGAACTGAACAAGTCCACCTTACTTCCAATTTTCTATAAAGCAAAATAAGTTTAAAAAATGACTAGAATAGGATTCAGTTTGTCCTCTGGAATGCAGTAACCCTCCAGAGCAAAATGTATGGGCAGTACGGTAGATGACCAACATAGAGCTCTGTCGCTAATTTTCCTTGTCATAACGAGAGGCTGCTTTGCGGTGTTTTCATGGGCTTTAGGTGAATGATTGCTTTGATATTATCACATCAGTAGAGAAAGTCTGGAACCCTAGCTTCCCAGGCACCGTCTCTATACTCAAACTTTCAAAGGATATCAAGCCGCATTTAAACTAATAATTACTTTGCTTTACCTTCCTCTATCTTTCAAAATGCTGTTAGATTTTGAAAGATTTGACATGATTAGAGATAATGCAATATTCTATGGAATGGGAAGAATTCTTGGAATTTTTTGTTTGATAATAGCATATTATTAACTCATCAAAGGTCATAAAAATTGTTACGAAATTCGATATTCAGAAAAGTCGAAACCCTAACTTATAAAGTTTATATTTTGGGACAGGTTCAGGTAAAGCTGGCATGGTGTCTCCGACACGTCCATCTTCAACAACGATGGATGCTATGAGACAGCTGCTAACGTGAGTAGATGACAGAGAATGGATAACTAGTAGTTTGTGAACAAAATCCATGACATCAACTCTTGTATTTGTAACTGGTAAATTGACCATGCTGTAATTTCATCTAAACTAAGCATTCACCTTTGTGAGGCACCAACTTAGACCTTTGATTGAACAGTTCCGTAAAGACATTTTCCAGGATTGGTAGGTGATCTATGACTGTGTAGTGTCTCCCTGAAAAGTTAAAGAACTACCTCAGTTGAATTCTGTCTCGTCTTTACATTTCAAGTGAAAGGCCCAACCTGGTGCTTAAGAACCGCCCACCCAGCACTGAAGGCCCGCCCCCAGTTCCTTCTAAGAAGAAGCTATCAACAGCCAGTATTGAGAGCAACAGTGATGGTAACAGTCGACCAATCAGCACCACCAGCTACTACACGGCCCACAGCGGCCAATCAGACAGTCGGCCTAACAGCCAGTCTAACAGCCGTCCAGGGAGTGGGCGGAGTTCCACCTCTGGTTTGGAGGATGAGAAAGGAATGGGGGATGCTCCAACGCCGGCGCCACGTGTGCACAGGACATCTACCTCAGTATGTGTATCACCTGATCCGTACCCCCATCTGCTTCTGCCTATCCCTAGAAATCTCTGCTTCTCTTTGCAGGATATTATTGATAAAGCTTTTGAAGTTTACTGGTCAAGCAGGCAATAGCTCAATACTTTCAACACTCTTCCTAATTCTTAAATATTGCGCCATCCCTATTCTAGACCCTGTCAAGTTTTCTTTCTTTTAGAGGGAAAAATGCCTTAATATCGAATCTGTACTAATATATTGCCTCCAAATTGTATGGTCACTGATTGATGTATGTTTTCCTTTGAAAGTGGGAGTTAGCTGTGAGTTCCTGTGTTCATATGAAGCATTGACCAGCTTACAGTTTTCCTATGTCAACCGCTACTTTCATTCCAACTGCAAGATAAATGTAAAATCTATTCTATGAGAGAAGAGAAATAACTGTCATGTATCTCCAATGTTGTGTTCTGTAATGCTACAGCAGAAAGGATTAAGGCGAGTCAGGGCACTGTACGATTGTCACGCTGACTACGAAGATGAGCTTGAATTCGAAGAGGGTGAGATCATTGTAGTGACAGGGGAGGCTGACAGCGAGTGGTGGGTAAGTAATTCGGAGAAAGGAAAGTAAAACAATACTTAATCTTCCAGTAATCTGGGATTGTTCAGGACCTGTAGAAAGCATGACTTGGGCTACTCAAATGCACACATTGACACTATTGCGAGCAGCTCATTTTGGAGGGAATTGCACTCAACTGCAAGTGTGGTGTTATACTCATAGTTGAGTTTCCTCTTCCTTGG